AAATATGCCCCCAGGGCATGAATCTAAAATTTTGCATTTTTCTTGAACACATCGTCTCATTAGGCACGTCCATGCCAAGTTTCAGCCTTCCATGTCTCTACTTTCTTCTCAAGCAAAAATGATGTTATGGAGGGGGATTGAGTAACAGGACATGGAAGGCAAAAAAACCAAAAGAAAGCTAAGGTATGGCCGGGAATTGAACCTGGACCTTCCGACTGCCATCCAGATATGTTACGACTACACCACAGAACCCAGCCCATCCAGTTTCCTCTCTGAATGCCATCCTCATCTGTCACAAAAAAATATTCATGAAAAACGTTTCCCCCAAAATTTGTACCCCCAGGGCATGCACCTCCAAAGTCGGATTTTTTCTGAACTCTGCATCCCAAAAGGTAGATGTGTACCAAGTTTCAGATTTCTAGCCCTTTATGAAAAACGTTTCCCCCAAAATTTGTACCCCCAGGGCATGCACCTCCAAAGTCGGATTTTTTCTGAACTCTGCATCCCAAAAGGTACATGTGTATCAAGTTTCAGATTTCTAGCCCTTCTAGAACACGGTTAGAATTAGCGTCAGTCAGTCAGTCACCATCGTCTATATATATTAGATTCGTCCCTGTCGAAATTCGCACCATAAGGGGACGTATTCAGAATTATAATTGAGAAGATTTTTCTATTGATTTTTAATGTGCCTTACATCAGATGTCTACATATATCACGCAAGTCACCTAGGTCAATGTGCTATTTTGTTAAAATCACATATAAAAAAAATTCCCACAAAATATAAGTAACATTAACTAAACGATAGCAAGTCACTCGCATTGAAGTTTGTCAAAAATTGAGACATTTCTGCTTTTTGGAAGTGATTCAACATCTCCATAGCGTCTATCAATTAATTTAGCATGAAGCTTGGCATAAAAAAATCCCCGAAAGTCCCCCTTTAACTCTGATGGGACGATCAAAGACCTCCATCTAAGTTGCATCCTCTCTTTGTCCCTCAAACGTCATTTGCGAAGTCTTCTCGCACGATAGCATAAGCAAATTGATTCAAATAATTATTAGTTTCTTTCTGAAGTTAGGAGAGAAAACATGAAGTGTAGGAAATTTGTAATAGTGGATTCAAGAATGTGAATCAAAAACGCCCCTAAACTAGTACACAGTTTCAATATGTATTTGAAGCTAGTTCCATTTGTGTCTGATTAAAAGTCAATATCGTGATAACCATTCTAGAGTGCATTCTTTCCATTAATTTTAACGACAGCGTCCTCCCTGCAATTTGGTAGATATTGGGGTTTTAATTAGTATTGTGACATACTGGGTACCCTGTAAATTGTCATTTTTCACAGCGAAAAGTTAACCTTAACATACTTCCCTTCCATTATTCGCTCTGAAGGGACTTATTTCAAAAGAAATATATATTCTTGACTCATCAATCCATAAGGTACTTCTTCTGCAATTGTCAACTTTCTATGGCTCTTCGTTTCGTTTGATCAAAAAAGATTAAGAGAAATGAACCACCTACAAAAAAAGTGCCCTAAGGGATTTTACTTTAAAAATATTTTTTGTTTTACTGAAAGCAGTACTCGGAGAACTATATGCACATTAAGTTTCAATCTTATGCGTTTGCCCTTTTCGCTAGTGCAAAAATATTTTTGAAAGAGCCGACCCACCCAAAAGCTATACATAGCATTAGATATGCATTAGATATGAATTGAAGTTTTCATAACCTCAATATCACATTAATTATGCGCATGTCAAGTTCCACTTTCCTATTGCAGACAAATTCGCCAAAACAAAACTAATAATTGAAAACGTCACCCCTAAAAAATGGCCCCAGGAGGTACATTTGAAATTCAACATTTTTTCCTGACCTCAGTGTCTCAATCTACACGTTTATGTGGAATTTCAACTTTCCATTTCACTCCGTTTTACTGAAGCAAAACTATTTTGAAAACATTTCATCCCCCAAAATGTGTACGCTTCAGGGACAACGTTGAATCAATGTTGGTTCAATGTCATATGCTACTAGGGTATGGACCTGAATAGCCCAGATGTGATTTTTTTAGAGCGTATCGTTGGTGTCTTCCAGAAGAGGAAAGAAAAGGAACGTCTTCCACTTACCTCTGTCGTAATAGGAATATTGACCAAGATCACCATAGTCCAGGAGGGTGGTGAGTTGGTTGTTTGGTGAATTACTAATCCACGCCTGGCACTGGAATCCCTTCTTAGTGATGTTTTCCGTACCAATATAAGTTGTACCTTCCTCGTCCTGTTTGCACTCGCGTGGGGCTGTCAAGCATGAAAGTACAGCAGGGAATAACTCTCAGAAGGAGTGCAAAACGGCACGACAGGCTCAAACGGATGTGCTAAGAATTACTTTGTTCAACGCTTTTGTATTTCATTTTTTCAGGAGCTAAATATCTGGTATTTCCTACTTCCATATGGCCGGGGACTGGGACGCATGTGAAGGTATTGTCTATTCCGCCGTAAAAAAAAAACACACTCGCGGCTTTGATTTGACAGGGAAGCCTGACTATTCCAAAGGATCTCTCACAGCTGACTGAGAAGTGCTGTCCTTCATCTGACAACACTGAAGCGTGTCGTAATCCTTTAGCCCCCAATGTCCCACCGGAGGCCGGATCTACACATCTCTCTTTGACTTGTTACCTTTCACCGCTTCATCCATCAAATCTTTTGTCCTCAACCAAGTCTGTCTTTTGCGGGCGAATAGACTATAAACATGGTGAGATCCTGGTGGAGACGACAGGGGTGGTAGAGTGCAAGACCCTAGCGAAGCTACTAACTTAGATATGGGAGGAAGTCCCATGGCCATAGCCACGAGTGTTTTGTCAAGGAAAGGCTAGTGCAGCTGTTGGCTAATTAGTTTCTTTTTTATAAATAGTTTAGTAGGTTTTTCTGGGGCAGTGAACTTTATGTCCACCTAGTATAGAAGTATGCAGAATGTAGGTTCTTGGCCACTTTACTTTAGCGCCTGATAGTGTTCTGTTTTTAAATAATTCCTTTTACACTTACAGTTTATCTGAAGTCATCCAAGGACAGGTGCCCCAAATGAGCAAATATGCTTTCAGACTTTAGAGGGAGTGAGTTAACGAGGTGATGTGTGAGGAAAAGACAGCTGCGGGAGGAGGGGAGGGGCTTTGGCCCAGTCGATGCCAAGTCAGGGGATGGATGGATTAGAAATTCACCCGAGGCATTCCATAATTTTCAAGACTGAATGCAACGTAAATGAGCAATGCAAACGGCATAGTAGACTTGACTGCATACGCACATATGACGTTCAAGAAACGATACAGGAACATTGCTGCAAAGTAACACAGCGCCGTCCATGGAACAACACAATCTCTCAAAAAAGTTCGTTGTCGGGACGCTACGGAACAACTTGGCTGAAACGTTGAAATGCGTCACTCCTTTGAAAAATAACCGTATTACAATATTTTACTTCATTGCCTTGGTTAAGTTGAATTTTTTTTTTTAAATGAAGTGGAGCTTGTGAACAAGATATATAGTTTGTACAAGAATTATCAGAATCCAAGTCTTACTCTGCATTAAACTGGAATCTATCATGAGAAGCGGTTTAGAAAGTTTCTATGATGCCTCAGTTGCGCGTGTCGAAGAGACTTCAGTTAACGAAAGACGGAACGTAGAGAATGACAATGAATTGCATTAAATTAACTTGAGAAAAATACTCACTGACGCAATTTCCTGCCACTTTAATCTCGCACGGTCTCCCGTCTACTTGGGAGCAAAAGGGAACATCGCAATACTCCCACTCAGGTCCGTTTTCAGTGTCAGAGAAACACCATGGGCCGTGGCGATTTTCATCGTAATTGCGACAGAACCGGTGGCTGCCATCAAGTTCGTCTGAAATTACGTATTGATATACTTGGGCTTGAAACAGTTTGGGTCCTATCATCGTCAGCCAAGGCTTGCAGGGGTAGCCAGACATCGTCACGTCCAGCTTTCCCATGTATTCCATTCCATGACGGCTCAGCTTGCATTCCGGTGGGTCTAGAAGACAACGGCACTATTGAGTCTCAGTGAAACGTCTCATACTTCAGTCAGGGGCGTCGTGGGACGTACTGGGGTCGTGGCAGAAGGGGATCTCACAGTACTCCCACACTGTCTTGGGGTCGGAGACAAAGCACCACGGCCTGTCATAATGCTGGAAATTCCGGCAGTGATTTTCTGAAGATTTCGAGCTTCGAAGGAAAGCATGCAAAGAAACTCCGAATGAGAAGACTTCCTGATAATATTGCCATTGCTCTTCCCATTGCAGGCAATCATGCCCAATCTCGGTTGTGTTCTGGCTTCCCACGTACTCGATCCCCTTCTCCGACAATCGGCATTCAGGATATTTGCCCCCCTTGGTTCCAACATCAACTCGGCGTTCGCAGAAGCGGATATCACAGTATTCCCAAGTTGTATAGCTTTCCCCATCGACAATACACCAGGGACCAAACTGGCAATTAAATTTGCTCCACTGTGAACAAGAATTTTTAAAATTAATTCTTTGGAAAATTTGTGTTTCAAAAAATTAAAAAAATTAATACTACAATGGGCACATGAATATCGACCCATCAATATCGAAATTCTGCCTCGTAATTTCCGTAGGGGACTTCGAGAAAGGGCCTTGGACCCTATTGCTGGGTCACTCGGGTCACGCCCAGGGCCAAAACTAAGGTTAAATGTCACGATTTACATGCCTCTCTTTGAAAATCTGGATTTCAATCTGGATCTTCCCAGCCGCTGGTAGTAGAAGCGTGAAATTCATGCGATTCTCTTCGGGACATACTGTACCGTGCTGAATGGAAAAAAAATAATGCATACGTATGAATGTCGTTGTCGAGACGCCATGGCGCCATAACTGAGAATTTCTCCATCGCAGATTTCCGTTTTTCCCAGCTCATTCCTCGTAGAAATTTTCTATCGACAGACGCATGCACCACTTTTTGGAGACTATCCTGGTCCATCTTTTTCTGGAGTTGAGCATAGTTTCTTCTAGTCCATTCTCCTTCGAGTTCGATGATCCCCCTGGAAATGCCACTTTTTTTTCGAAATAACGTGCGGTTGACAGACATACCTCGAAAATGAGGCAGAATTTTACAAAAATTCATTAGATGAATCTCTTGAGGAGTCTCTCAACAAACATCTTGCCGACTTTCATGAGAATCCGTTCGCTTCCTTCGAAGTTTACCGCTTTTTGCTGTGGCCTTTGTTGAAAATGGACGTCATTTCTGCCATCCCGAGTCGATTTCCCCTGTTCATCGGTTGCAAACGCAGGATTTCTTGTGCCAATAGCAAAGAGGGATGTTTCAAGGATTAAATGACACCAAGATGAATTACTGTCTCCAGGGGAATAGGGAACGTGGGGCTTTTATTACCGAGTTGCCCATAGTTATTGATTTTTCTTGACCCCCAAGGCCCTCTCATTTTTTTTTCTTTTCATACTCGTATAAATATATAGACTATCGTCACTGACTGAATGACTGACGCTAATTCTAACCATGTTCTAGAGGAGTTAGAAATCTGAAATTTGTTGCACGTGTACCTTTTTGGATGCAGAGTTCTGAAAAATCAGATTTTGTAAGTACATGCCCTGGAGGCACATATTTCAGGGGGAGATGTTTTCAAATATTTTATTTTTGCTTCAGTCAAACGGATAAACAGGTAAAGCTGAAACGTGACATGGACGTACCCACTGAGACTCGGAGTTCAGGGAAAATGTCATGTCTTGTATGCATGCCCTGTAGGCATATTTTTTGGGAGGTGACTTTTCCAAAAACCTTTTTTCGTTCACTGAATTGTGCAGATATAGAAATATGAAACTTGCCACAGCAATAACTGGGGTGATGGTGAGTTGAGAAAAAAAATTCCCGTTTTTTGGTGCCTAAGGCACAGCTTTTGGCTTCATGGGTTTTTCGAAATATATTTTTGCACCAGCAAAAAGAGCAAGCGGATGAGGATGAAACTTGGCCTGCACGTTGTTCTCCATGTACTTATTTCAGGAAAAATGTTAATTTTTAGGCAAAGCCCTTAAGGGCATATTTTTTTTGCAAAAATACATTTTCCGGAAACTTTTTTGATTCAACGGAGGAGAGAACTAAAAAAAGTTTAAACTTGGAGATAAAGTACCTGTTCGATTTCCAAGTGAATATCATATTTTTCAAATAATACCCCTGATGATAGATAGTGAGAAGATTTGAATTCAGGCTCAAATAAATCATTGGTGTAATATTTTTGATACACAGATTGGTACGTTCTCTCTCGGCACACGTTTCGACAGGCACATTCATTTGATACGTTTTTGCCACTTTGAAAAACAATTAATGAATAAATCACTAACCCTAGACAATGGAGCGCCGAAGGCTCGACCATAGTTCATAATAAAATTCTATAATTTCGATTCCCCCTCCTGAGGTTCCTCTTGACGCGTCGCCGCGTCAGTAGGGTGGGAGTCGATGACCCTGTAATGTTTAGGTTCAAAGTCGGTCCATCATGGCTGCCGCCTATCGAGTGCGCGTATCTTCCTTGGTGCAGTGTCTCATCTTCCAAAATGTTCATGCCCAATCTGATTGTAAATTAGGGTTACGGCTGCCTACTATGTTATAATATTGTGCGTATATGAATAGGTGACCATGTCTTAGTTTGAGCCTCGGTCTATGGCAGGCAATGCACACCTCCATCTCACATCTAATCTTAAGCCTTCATGGTCATATCACAGGCCTAGGCCTATGTCATTCATCTCCCTAGTCCCATCAGTATACTTAAGTTTCAGACTCGTCCTAGGCTCGGCGTGCCTTAAAATTCTACAGGACTCCATCTGCTTCCTTTGAATGGGGAGTGCCTACTCACTCAAACCACTCTCACTCAATAGAAATACAGTACCTTGTATATTGAAAGGTATATTTCCTTTCTTCCAGAGTTCAAAGCAGCACCTTCTCTTATCAGAATCATAACTGTACCAAATTATCCCTACAAGCTTGACCCAAACCAGACCTATGTAATTCCGCGGAATATTCTCTTCTTCCAGAGAGAGATTTGGAATCGCATGACTGATATGCAAATGCCAAGGTGATTCCGAGATCGCAATGTAATGTACACATAAAAATTTCACGGGTGAATTCCACCACATGATAATATTTTTTTGTAAGGGAGGGCTATCAATATTTGTTGCCCTCAATATTTCCCAAATAAAAGAGGCACATTTCCATATATTTTGAATCAGAGAGATATGAACAAGGACCTAATTGGGATGTGGAATTAGTTCCACCCTTTGGACCGAGTACCTTCAGAACAACGATAATTCAGAATGGGCCAAAAAGACCGCACAGAATTTCGTACAATGTGAGATCCTTCTTTCCCTCTCTCTACCCTTTTTTTCCTGTCTAGACATCTCTTCCCGTGCATGGGAGACGCGAGGCGCCAGTACACTTCTGTAGCACTATTTCCTTTAAGTAAATAAAAAATTCCCTGCTCACCGCCTTCTTCCCAATCCATTTCTTTCCAACCCGCCCTCCACTTGAAAGCATTCGACATTCACATCTGACACAAATTTCCACATGCGAGGCATCCAAAATCTCTAATGAGTTGGGATGGCAACTCTTCCGGTTTCGCGCCCCGATTGAGTAAAAAGTCGGAAAA